ATGATGCATAAAATGTGCACAGGAAGGGAAAACTGCAATACCCATGAAATTAGCATAATTGTTTGAATCCCCTTGCTCCCCTTCGGTCTTAGCTTTGATGATGTAACCTTTTTTGAACCCGAAAACCTTTTTTTCAATCAGGTGGTTACTAAGTATGCTAACAAGCTGCACTTTAGCYTATAGGTTAAGTGAATTGCTTTATCCACCTCGGATTTTGATCAAGACCTTCTTTGAATTATCAGGTGGCAATAGAAGGTATAAGAGGATCATCTTATCAGGGAGACATTGCTATTGACGATATATCTGTCACCAAAGGACGATGTGCCAGCACAGGTAAGAAAACAACTACACAACACTTTATTGGTAACTTGCCAACGAGCTCACTTCTTTTTGCATATTCTTGCAGCTCCCCCGACCCCTCCAAAACCATCAACCCCACCACTACCTACACAATCACCAGGTAAGACTATCTTTACTTGTAAAATCTGTGCCTAACTCAGTCAGTAGCTATAGAGACAGGAAAACCTGCACACTTTTAATACAATGCTGGTAATTAATTTTGACGTAGTGGTACTGCAATTACCACTATCAACTATCACCTTTGGTATCTCAGGTACGAATCTTAGACTCAAAATGCCATGGAGTTACAGAGATTTTGGGTGTTGATTTAAGGGCGTTTTTCAAGGTTTTTCCGTTTGTATTCTCACTGCAAAGCCCATTTGCGATAAGCTACATTCAAATTTGCACTACGAATTTGCCGTGCCCTGATATAGATAAGCCTAGAGGTTACTCAAGGGTTGTAAAAAGTCCAATCATCACCATCGCAAATCACCCAGTTCTGAATAAATGTATCGCTCTACTGACCCTTGCAATGAATATATTTTGTAGGTCAATGTGGAGTATCATCAGTTACTAGGATAATTGCTGGGGTCGATGCTAGACCAGGATCATGGCCATGGCAGGTATTTCAAATATAATTATTTAACAATTATATCGGGGAATATTTATCAAGACGCGAGTCTTCGAGCGGAGCCATAGGTAAATTTTCTCCGATATTCACTGAGTCTGAGGCAAATAATTGTTTTAGTATAAATACACAGGTGATTCTTTCAAAAAAAGAAAAATCAGCGCGCGAGATTTTCAACAATTACCTGTGTATTTTTACTAAAACATATTATCGTAGTTCGTGCAATCTAATTAATTACCTTTTAATGTCAATAGCATCACCATCACGTGATTCTAAACTTTTAAATCATCATCATCATCATAATAGTAAAATATTGATAAGGATCTACCGTCATTGTCGCATCGTTAACCTTTAATATGTTATTATTAATATTTCATCAGATTAGCAATACAAAATAAAGGATATTTGCAAAAGATAATTTAAACACTATTCTTTCTGCTAAAACTACTATAAGTTAGGAGTCATAACAATACTTGAAATGTTTGTCTCTGACTTAACATTTTTACAAACG